GGGTTTAGGGGTTTAGGGGTTTAGGGGTTTAGGGTTTAGGGTTTAGGGTTTAGGGTTTAGGGTTTAGGGGTTTAGGGGTTTAGGGGTTTAGGGGTTTAGGGTTTAGGGTTTAGGGTTTAGGGTTTAGGGTTGATTCCTCAGCGCTTTGAGGTAGACGAGATGACTCCAGAAACGAGGGAGGCCTGTGGACGAGGTTTAGTATAGGGGCCTTGAAATTAGCAGTATCCAACTTGACTCCCTAAACCCTCAATCTTAGAAAGTTGGCCGCTGATTCGGATCAGCTGCAGGCGCGAGCCCTTCGAATAAAGACTCCTCGACCGTCGACGACAAGGATGGAGTGCCTGCCGGCTGCTGAGAACGTTGCCCTTGTGAGAAACCCTCAGCCTCAAAAAACACCCCAAACCCCCAAGCACCCAAACCCTAAACCCCGAAACCCCTAAATCCCTGAACCCTAAATATACCCTAAAACCCCAACATCCCAAAAAGCCCTCAAACCCTAAACCCTAAACCCTAAACCCTCAAAACGCACGATGCAAAACCCCGGGCCCGAGGCAACTCCAGCCGTCACCCCTGTGGCCACGCCGGCAGCAAATCCGGCTTCCCCGGGAGCTTCAGAAACGCTGCAGGTGGGAGTTTAGGGTTTAGGGGTTTAGGGTTTACGGTTTGGGGTTTAGGGTTGAGGGTTTGGGGTTTAGGGTTGAGGGTTTGGGGTTTAGGGGTTTAGGGTTTAGGGCAGCTCTCCGAGGGGTACCTTAAATCGAAAGCTCTGGGGTACCAAGGGAACTCAGGGACCTGAAGAGATGTGCCTGTTCAATCGCATCCGCGCTATGCCGCTATACCCTGAACCCCCCGCCTCCCTCCCCCCCCTCAACCCTAAACTCTAAACCCTAAACCCTAAACCCTAATGCCCTGAACCCCCCGCCTCCTTCCCCCCTCCCTGAAGCAGAATGTCTTGCTGCAGGTTGCCCCTGCACCGACAACCAGCGCCGCATCACCCACTCCAGCCCAGGCACTGGCCAGTACACAGGGTTTCGGGTTTAGGGTTTAGGGTTTCGGGTTTAGGGTTTAGGGTTTAGGGTTTAGGGTTTGGGAGGATGGCTTGATCTTCCCACTCTGTTCAGCCGTGGAGAGAGCAGGCCAGAGTAGGGGGCAGAGCCAAGCTATGCCCATTGTCATCATGCCATGTGGGAAGATGCACCCTAAATCCTAAACCCTAAACCCTAGGCCCTAGGCCCTAGGCCCTAAACCCTAAACCCTAAACCCTAAACCCTAAACCCTAAACCCTAAACCCTAAACCCTAAACCCTAAACCCTAAACCTTAAACCCTAAACCCTAAACCCTAAACCCTAAACCCTAAACCCTAAACACACTTGCCGGCCTTTCTGGCTCAGTACATGAGTGAGGGGAACATAGGGGCACCTGTGACAGCGTGCCGATTCCTTAGTGTCGCGATGCAGGGCTCGCACGGTGGCTTCGCCGTTGCGTTAGGGTTTAGGGTTTAGGGTTTAGGGTTTAGGGTTTAGGGTTTAGGGTTTAGGGTTTAGGGTTGCATTGGAGTCTTGTAGACTTCTGCTCAAGAGTTCTGAGGCTGCGCTGGTCACTGGGGAGCATGCCGGTGAAGCAGGACGGGCAGAGTATTTTACTATGTGCTTAAGAACCCCCCCCCCCCGAAAAAATGACTCATAAGTATAAATATTAATTTTCATTTTTTGGGGAGTGCTTATAAAGCAAATAGTAGCATATCCACCCAAATTTATTGTTGAAGCCTAAAAATTCTCGGAATCTGCAGCGATCGTACAGCAGTCAGCCGCATCAGTCATGTGAACATGTGAGTTCATGTGGGCCGTTACCGCTCAAGGTAAGGGGCCCCTTTTCCTTACTGGTTTAGCCAGGCGTAGGAACCGATCTGAGTGATCGTACATGTCAAAACAGTGCGTTGTGCACTTACGTTGTGACTGAGCCCAATCGCTTCGAGCTACCCTGTGTGACTTTGCTGCATTGGCAGCGGAGCACCTACGCTCCAGGGAACGCGGCTGCTTGGGACTGTGCCCTCCCGTGACCACCGCCGGACAGCCCCGGTTCCATCCGTGCACAGTCCCTCCTGTCAGGTGCAAGCTGGCAGGCCCTTTTTCCAGGCGAACCCGAAGAGGCTTCGCCCCTTTTCTTCGTTTACGAGTTTGTCCTCGAGTTTTTCCTCATGGCAGATAGCAAAGAAGCTGGGAGTATACCAACATGGGATGGTGCAGCTCGTGGCTGGCGTCGCTACACGAGGGAAGTGGCGTGGTTCGTTCAGGCGACGCCGACACACAAGCGCAGATACTGCGCATCGCGCTTGATGAGTCGCCTAACGGGCCCGGCTCGGCTCCTGGCGATGTCATGGTCTCGTGTCGCCTTTGACGGTGAAGACGGGACACGTCGTCTTCTACAACAGCTCGCCGCATCGCCGCTGGTACGGCGATCACTTCCGAATGCCGCTGCGATCTGCCAACAGTACTTCAGCTTCAAGAGGGCGCCGAATGAGACGATGGGAAATTTCCTGGTGAGAGAGACGTTGGTCCAGGAGGAGTTCACGGAGGCCTTGATACGTCTTCACGAGGAGAAGCTGGGAATTACCCAGGCCGATCGCGACTTCGGGCTGCCCAAGGTTGAGAGCTGGAAGGATGATGATTGGCGGCATGCGGATTGGTGGTGGTATGGCGAGGAAGAAGATGACGACGACCAGCCAGAAGGTGATCCCCGTGAAGCCGATCAGCCGGATGAAGAACGTGCCACTCAAGAAGAACGACCTGAAGGAGCACCTCATGACGATGCTCGACCCCCGGAACGTGGCGCGACGGGATCCTCTCCAAGTCATCGAGATGGCCAAGCCACCATAGATGCCGGTGATGGTGGCAGCCAGGGCCGGCACTCAACGTCACCTCCACTTCGCGCCATCGATGAGCTCTCCGTGGCCGACTCCTTCATAATGAGTGTCCTCAGAGGATGGCGATTGCTTCAAGCTGCTGGACTCACACCGGAAGAAGTTCGGGATATACTATCCTCAACTCGCAACAGCCTGGACTATGAGACCGTAGCCCAGGCCTTGCAAGGACTTTGGGATGAGCAGCTGCTGGGCCAGAGATACCGACCTCAAGGACACCATGCCTTCGCCACGATCGCCGAGAGCGCGGATGCCTTCTACCACGACTACAACGACGAATGGTGGGATGGTGAAGACGAGTGGTGGGACGAGCAGGCGTACTACGCTGGATGGGAGTGCGAAGATCACTCTTGGAGTCCCTGGCTGGAATCCGATGAGCATGCGTACCAGGTGGCCGCTCCAGAGACGACCCCGCAAGATGATGAGAAGTACCGTGAGGCTCAGCAAGCAGAGCAGATTGCTGAGCAGCTGGCTGCCGAATCCCATCGGTCGTGGACCGAGGCCCAGAAGGCCACGCAGGCCTTGAGACGTGATCGAGGCTTTGGTGCGCACACTACCACGACCGCTGGGGTGCGGTGCTTCATCTGCAATGGGTCCCACTTTGCCCGAGACTGTCCTGATCGAGGGCATCCTGCATGGAAGGGCCATGGCAAGGGTGCTGGCAAGAAGGGCTACTACCAGCACCTTGACGACTACTACATCGGCAAGGGTAAGAGCAAACATCCCCCTAAGGGCAAGGGCAAGAAGGGCTACTGGCTGGAGGGGAACGCTATCTTTAGGAAAGGCAAGAACAAGGGCAAGACCAAGGACTCCGGTTCACGCTCTGTGAACGCCTACTCCAACGAGCTCTTCCTCGGTGGCCTAGAAGTTTCTGAAGCCATGGAATCTTCACCCTCACCTCCGAGCAACACGGAGCCGCATCGTGGCATGCTTGACAGTGGTGCTACCGCGTCAGCTGCGCCGGAGGCAGTAGTGAAGGGCCTTGTAAAGGCGGTCCTTCAGTGTGATCGATCGGCACGCATCGAACTGGAGCAATACGCGAGGCCTTTCTTCAGGTTTGGCAACGGGAAGTGGAGCAGGGCTTTGGGGCGCACTACGATCTCTTCTAGTGTGTCA